GCCGCGCGCCTCCGCTCGCTCCCGGCCCGCCCGCCGCCCGCCGCCGGGTAAAGTCTTAGGTTCAGGGAACAAAGCCTGGCTTGGTAGGGAGCTTTTCGCTCGCTCGCTCCGCGCGTATTTTCCCTCTTTCTTTTTCTTTCGGTGGCTCTCGGTGGTTGCTCCTGAGCTCTCGCTCCGCCTGCCCTTCCGTCTCGGCCCCGGTTCTCCAATTCTCCATGCCCCTCCGCCCAGGGCTTCGTCTCTGCTCTTCAACTCCAAGGAAACTCCGAGGTGGAGATCAGAGGAAGGGGCGCTAGAACGAACGGGAGCTACGTGGGCCGCTCGCCCTTCCGTGTCTGGGGCGGGGGGGGTGGACTTTGGGTGGCCGCTCGTGGGGTCTTTCCTTGGAGGACCCTCTGGAGGGTAGACACTTTCACATGTAGACATTTGTTCATTACACAAATATTTATTGAATGCTTACTATGTGCAGCCGCTGGGATAGAGCAGTGAACAAAACAGGTATTGATTCCTGCCCTCAGGGAGCTTCCGATCCAGCTTATAGACTCAGACGCGCGCGCACAGGGACTCGCACCCCTTAGAGGCACACCGAGGCACCCCCAGCCTCATCCGGCCACACCACCTGACTCTTCCAGAGAGACACAAACCCCAGGTCCGGCCCCGCAGGCACGCTTAGAGAACCACGCCAGTTAGAGACCCACGATTACGGAAGTGCCCGCAAACAGCACAGTTACACTTGACCTCTAGGCACGCACACAAACACAGAACATAAACTCACACACAGCACCCCCAAAGGACTAAAGACCCTGAAATTGGGTCTGGGAAGAAGTGAGGGGCGTCAGCCCGATGGCTTTATCCCAAGACCGGAGTGGGCCAGTGGGACGCAATCTGACCCCCCCTTCCTAAAGCGGGGCGGACGCCCTCAGGGACCAAAGGTCACACGCCCTCAGCGGGAGGTGTGGTGGCGGAGGGGAGAAGGCAGCCCTGAGGGCTTCAGCGACACTTCAAAGACCTCGCGCCGGGGAACGCTTCCTGCGGGGGAGGGGCAGAGGGAGAGGAGAAGGGAAGACCGGCAAGGGGACTGTGAGGGTGGGAGGAGGCTGCCCCCACTTCGGCGCACTGCCCCCCTGGCCGACTCTTCCGCCGGGACCGCCTCCTTTTCACCAGCACCTGTTCAACCGGAACATCAAGGGGCCGGGACCCGCCGCCACCCCTCCCTTCGCGTCTATTTAGTACCTTTCATCCGGGAAGGGAGGGGGATGAATTCCCGCCCAGGATGGGGGGGGGGTAGGACGGGGGAGAACTTGTCCTTGACCTGGTCTTTGGCGTCAGGGATTTACTCCCTAATCCCAGCGACACTGGCGTTTGGGGAGGTCGGGGAAGCTGAGCTCTGGACTGCAGCCCTCCAGCTCCCCTCACTCCGGCAAGGGACCAGAGAATCCCGGAGGGCTGCCAGGACGTAGAAGCTCTGTCTAAACGGGCGCGGCGGGGAGGAGGCCTGTCTCTGCGGCTTCCGTGCCTGGGGGAGGGGGCCGAGAGCCCGAGGATTGTCGGTGCCGGCCAGAGGATCGGGATCCCTGCGAGGACTGCCAAGTGCCCGTATCTTGGTCTGCTTTGTGAACTTCGCTCATACGAAAAGTTAAGAAACAGACGAGAAGTCTCACTTAGGAGTTTCGAACGAATTACTTTTCCTGACAAGAATAAAACTTCAAGAAAATTAAACGCAAAAATGTCAGCCCTACCCATGCACCAGTTTCGGAATATTTGAGTATTTGGTTTTGGGACCGACCGCGGCCGAAGTGGCCGAAGTTTTGGGTTTCGCCGGACGAGGGTCACTCGAAGGCCCATCGGTCCCTACATCCAGGGGTGGGCGACGTGGGACTGGGGCGGCGGAGGCTTTGTCTCCGGTTCTCAGCCGGTGCGGGTGTACTGCCCCAAGACTGTGAGGTGAACGCGCGATGATACTTGTGCGTTTAGTAAGTGTATTAGGAACACTGTTTCGTTTAATCCTTCCCATAACCCTTTGGGATGGGTGTTAATATCCCATTTTATAAATAGATTAGCTGAGGTTCTGGAGGATGAAGTGACTTGCCCAAAGTCACACAGCCTGAAAGCAGCAGAGCGGGGACTTGAACCCAGTCTGTCCTCCGCTAGGGCTGGGGCTCCGCCGCCACGTGTTGGTCAAATGCCTGTGTTTAACTGGAATGTCCGCCCAAAGTAAACGCTCCCTTCCGAGGTTTGGGGAAACCCGGTGCTGCGCGGGTTGGGTGGGCTGGGTTCGCGGCGGGTACTCCGAGGGCTGAGCTGTAAAGCTTATTCCTGGTCTTCCAATATTTTCCTGAGAACCTACTATGTGCTTATCCACAAAAAAAAAAAAAAAAAAGCAAGAGCGGGACTCAGCCAACAAGTGGTTCAAGTTCGTCTTGCTCTTCTCGGCGTAACTGAGCACTGATTTGGGGTGTCACGCTGATCTTGCCTGTGCAGTTTTCGGCAAGTGACTTCACCTCTCAGGCTCAGCTTGTCCCTCTTAAATGGGACGTTAACTCCCTCTGGCAAGTGCCGTAGTGAAGATCTAACGAAAATCCTTTTGGAAAGCGCTAAGGCACACAGTAGGCGCTCAATCCCTGCTCTCCCCCGCTCCGCCCGCCCCTCTAAGCGTGCCAGGGCAGCGCGTTCCCGCTCCCGCTTCCCGCCTCCGGCATCCTTGCCCGACTCGCGCGTCCCGCGGCTAAGGGACTGGGGCAGAGAGGACCAAACAGAAAATTATTTCCGCCCGCTCGGCCC